TGCTGCCACATTGCATGGTGCAGGTGCAGCTTCCTAAGTCCCTCTCTTGCCTCCAGGAGTTGGGGAAGGGCAGGAAAATGTGCAGTGGGAGCTGGGAAAATGAACCTGATGTGCCCTCTGTCCTGGTCCTTAGCCCCCAACCCAGTGAGGTGCCTGCGGGTGGAAGCTCAGACCAACAGCTCCATCAGCCTGCGCTGGGAGGTGCCCCAGGACCCAAGCTCCCAGAACCTCACCTACTGGGTCCTGTGGACTGGAGACGGGGATGATGGAGACACCCATAAGACCACAGACACCAGTGTCACCGTGGAGGGACTGCGTCCTGGGTCTTCATATGCATTTTCTGTGTGGGTGGAGAAAGATGGAGTCAATAGCACCAGGGAGACTCTCCAGGCTGCTACAGGTGAGGAGAGCTGCTGTTGTCCACTTTCATTTTTACAGAGATTGGTAAGGCTGGTGCAGGGCAGATAGGACCGTGGGGCAGGTTCTTGAGCCAAGAGAGATACGATGGAAGCTGCGCCTGTGAACTTCATTTTCAGCCAGCTATGGCAAAATAACAGAAGAGGAGCAGGCGAAGGGACTCATCAAGAGGGAGGTCATGTAGTTCAGCTGAGCCAAACACCATCACAGCAGCATGTGGTCAGTAGAGTAACATCAGTGAGCCCTCGCAGCTTAAAATGCATCCTGCGCGTTCATGCCTGAGTGCAGCTGACGCACGAGGTGCGCCTCAGTGGAGGGAGCCCCGTCTCCGGGGCTCCAGGATGCCTGCGACCTGTGCTGCTGTATTGCCTGAGGTGGTTCTGAGTCACCTCACGTTGCCCACTGTGTCCTGGGTAAGGAAAGGCAGGAACCCGTGAGTCCCACAAGCACAGCTGGTCTCCCCTCTGTCCCTGTACTCAGTGCCCAACCCAGTGAGGAGCCTGCGGGTGGAAGCTCAGAAGAACAGTTCCATCAGCCTGCGCTGGGAGGAGCCCCAGGGCTCGGCCTCCCAGAACCTCACCTACCGGGTCCTGTGGACTGGAGATGTAGATGGTGGAGACACCCAGAAGACCACAGACACCAGTGTCACTGTGGAGGGACTGCATTCTGGGTCTTCATATGCGTTTTCTGTGTGGGTGGAGAAAGAAGGAGTCAGTGGCACCAGGGAGACTCTCCAGGCTGCTACAGGTGAGGGCAGAACCCGTTTAAACTGCTTTGTCTTCTGTCTCTGTTTTTCTTTGTTTCCTTTCCTTCTCTGTCTCTGT